ATAATGTAATTAATATATGTAATAATTAATTAATATATGTAATAACTAATATATGTAATAATGCTATTATTATCTCAGAGATTTTTTCCAAAATTTTTAGTTTACATGTTAGATATGACATCACATTTAACATATAAACCTTTCAATACAACAGGCCAGGCAAGCAGGAGTGAGGAAGAAATGGGAAAATATAAAAAGTGTATTTCGGTATATTTAGATTTTTTGCCTGTTTTTGAAAGAGAATAAAAAACAACAGAAAAAACTCATGGTAAATATATTAATATACTTTTACAACTAATATATAAAAAATAAAAAATAACTAAAATGTAATAAATAATTTTACAATTAAAAAAATGAAAATGAATAAATTGAAGAAAAACAAAAACCTTTGAAACACCAGTTATTTTATCAGCTTCTTTAATAATACCTTCTATTTGTTTTATCTAAAATAAAGAAACAATCTTCTGGTCTTGAATTTTTCTATTTGCTTATTTATGAAATAAAAAAGTACTTGGGCATCTTGAGTTCAAAAACTAAAAACTATTTTAAATAGCTGCTATTTATAATATATATATATATATATATATATATATATATATATATATATATATATATATATATATATATATATATATATATATATATATATATATATATATATATATATATATATATATATATATACTCATATAGTGTCGCTTTAAGAGCATTTTAATGTAAAAAAAGTCTCTTACGACTACAATTTTAATTACCTCGTCTCTTAAGCTGTTTTTGATTGTCATCGAAATGTCAAAGCAATTAATTTATGCGGAAGTACATTAAATTTAATTGTTTTTTAAAAAATTTTTAAAAAACCGCAATTATAACGACTAGAAAGTTTTTTTTAATTAGTGGTGTTTTTGTTATTGATTTAATAAAAAACATTTTTTAAACATGCGTAAATGTTGCTACATCGACTATCTTATAGCCTGACTCGCAACGGAGTGCTGCTACATCGACTGACAAATAGCCTGACTCGCAACGGAGTGCTGCTACATCGACTGACAAATAGCCTGACTCGCAACGGAGTGCTGCTACATCGACTGACAAATAGCCTGACTCGCAAGGGAATGCTGCTACATCGACTGACAAATAGCCTGACTCGCAAGGGAGTGCTGCTACAACGACTGACAAATAGCCTGACTCGCAAGAGAGTGCTGCTACATCGACTGAGGGTTTGGTTTGGCCAGGCAGTCTATCAATTAAAAAAAAAAATTTAATTTTTAAAACTTTTTCTGGTCTGGTTTATTAACGCGCTCTTTAAAACTACAGTTTATGGGAAATATTTTTTGATGCTACGCAAGAGACATGCAAGACTATATATATATACATATATATATATATATATATATATATATATATATATATATATATATATATATATATATATATATATATATATATATATATATATATATATATATATATATATATATATATATATATATATATATATATATATATATATATATATATATATATATATATATATATAATTATAACAATGTGATTTTTGTAAGTAATTAATTTTTAGAAAAAGATAAAACCGTAAATAAATAACGAAAGTATTTCACAGTGATAGATCTTTTTCATACATCGATATTATCTGCAAAAACCTATCAGTTGATATATAAGTTCTTATTTTTGAGTATCTACATTACAGAATGATGTCATGGGTGAAAAACTATGAACTACAAAGTAAACTAATATATACTATAAACTTACTGATCTATAAAGTATTGCTCTATCTGGATCATCTTTTGGTGTCTAGAAGTGAAATATATGAAAGTAAAATATATGTGTTTAAGTTAGAAGTAAAATATAAACACAACATAAAAACTTAAATATTTATGAATATTAGAAAATAACAATAAGAAAAACACAACATAAAAACTTACATATCTATGAATATTAGAAAATAACAATGGATATTTAACTAATTTACTCCTGGGAGAGTCTAAAAAAAAATTTTTTTGTATTTGAAATTAAAAGATTTCATCTCAGAAACAAAAAGAGAAATGTGTACTATCAATGCAAAAATGCTTGTTCAAATCTTACCTAAAAATGACCATAAATCCAACTTACGACTAAATGGAGACTCTTGACATCGCTGAATAAAAAAAATTAAAATAAAAAAATTTAAAGCAGAAAAAAAATAATTTAAAGAAACAAAAAAAAAAATTTGTTTTCTTACTTGTAAAAAATCTGCAAATTGTTTATTTTCTCTAATTTTATCAAGCAAAGTTTCTTTGGTTTGTAACTGATTTGCACAATAAGAAATATAAGGTTGAAGTGTGGGTATCTAAAAAAATACATATAAAGGAGTATTATAGTAAAAAAGTCACCAGGAAGAAGCAAATGAAAAACATAAAAAATACTATTACCCATTCCATTAGTACAACACCAATACCATATATACTACCATCTTCATTCTTTACCTCATTGATACGACGTAAAAGGTCTGTAAATCAAACTTAGAAACATGAATTTAGCCATTTAATAATATATGTTGCATACTCAACAACACATGTTCTAAACATGAAATATTATATATAAATATATCATGTATAATACATACATACACTTTATTCCCAGTAGGTAAAATATGTGTTTTAGTCATCTAATACTTTTTAGAACGTCTAAAACACGTTTCGCGCCCACTGAGTTGCATATATATACATAACATATGCAATGCAAAGTAAAAACTTTGTAATTAGTAAATTAATGTAAACAATAATATTAGAAATACTGCAAACAATTATATTAGGTACTTTTTTTGGGTTAATAAAAAGGTAATTTTTGGTGACAAAGAAATAAAGATAATATTTCCATTATATATATATATATATATATATATATATATATATATATATATATATATATATATATATATATGGCATACTAGACATGTTCTTTTTGTTCCCGTTATTTTTGTTCCCGCATACTATTTTTATCATATTTATATATTTTTATTCATTTTTATTTTATTTCTATTTTTATTTATACATATTTAAATTTATTATTTTATTATAAAAATATATTTTTTTTATATTAATTTTGGTTATTTTTATTTATTTATTTTATATGATATTTCATTTTTAACTTCATCTATTTACAAAAACAATGAATTACAATAATATAACCAAATTTAAACCTTGCCGTAACCCTAACCCTATGCCTGACCTTGCTTGGCATAACCAAACCCTCAGTCAACGTATCAGCACTCCCTTGCGAGTCAAGCTATTTGTCAGTCGATTTATATACTTTTTGTTCTCTATAAAAGTTTCTTACGGGTACATTATTTTGCAAAAAAAATCATGCTTTCTGGAACAAAAAAATAAGGGCTACACTAAAATGTCCCCGAGGAAACATTTTAGTGTACCCCTTAATTTTTTGGGTACACTAAAATGAAAAATAAAAAGGGGTACACTAAAATATCACTTACGGGGACAGATTTTTTGCAAAATCTGTCCCCATATGTGCTAAACTAGGTGTATATATATATATATATATATATATATATATATATATATATATATATATATATATATATATATATATATATATATATATATATATAATACAATATGTAAACAATAATATTAGAAATAATGAAAGCAATAATATTAGAAATAAAGTAAACAAAAATATTAAAAATTAAAAATATGTGCAATTAAAATGTAAACAACTTTGGAAAAACTTCAATTCTTTTAAAATAACTTTATTATTAAATATTTAACAAGTTGGTGGAATATAAATTTTGTAAAAATGCAAACAAAATAAAATAATTTTATGTTAACTCAAATTTATTTAATTTATTGTAACATATGGCTATTTCTGTAACTTGTTTAAGTACTTTTTCTTTTTATTAAAAAAAAATCACTTCCAACAAAGCTGCAAGCAAACATAGAGTTAGGAGTTGGTTGGGATTTAACAGAAAACAAAGAAATGAGTTTAAGAACTAGAAATCGGTAGAAAGAAAGAAAAATAATAATAAATAGAAGAATTCTCTAAGGGACAGAGGACTAAAAAAACTGTAAATCAATAAAATCTGACGAGAGAGAATTCCAAGGTACCAATATTCCAAGATAAAAGTTAGATAAAAGTTTTTTTCTGCATAAAAGAACAGTTAGTTTTTTTTTTTAATTTTATTTTACCTATTCAAGCCCAAGATGGCCACTACAGTTGAGGAGGCTATTTTATTTTTGGTTACAACCAAAAATAAAATAGCCTCCTCAACTGCAGTTTTCTGCCTCGATAAATCTTTTGTTTGTCCTTGTATAGAATGCCGTTTTTTTTTTTTGCTGATTCTTCTAATAAAGCCCATCATATTCATCTGCTTCAAGTCTCTTTCATATTAGGCAACAGCATTCTATACAAGAACAAAGAAGAGATTTATTGAGGCAAAGAATGGAATCAAAAGTAGAAAAGTGGCAAGCACAACCAAGAGAATAAAGAGATTAATAAAAAGAAAAAAATGATAAAGAGAAAAATAAAGAAAATGATATAGAGAACTATAGTAGATACTATTTTGGCAATGTATTGTAAATATGATTTTCATGAGAGGTCAGTATTAAATGATAAGGAGGAATGAATTTGAAGAGATTTAAAGTAGAGTATTCAATAATAGTGTTACCATTCATCATCATATAGGAATATCAATAACTATGCAACAATCATTACCTTTTAACAATAGAGATCAGATTTAGATTAGCTGTCTGTTCTAAAAAATCACAGAATAGAGATCAGATTCAAGATTAGCTGTCTATTCTAAAACATCAATAAGTGATGACTTTTTGTAGAGGCTAGAGTATATAATCGTGTGCAATATATAAGGTGCGATAGCACCTGCTATATCATAAGCCCTCTACATATATTTTTAATACCGGTATTGAGCCAAACCATACATATATATATATATATATATATATATATATATATATATATATATATATATATATATATATATATATATATATAATACATACATATATATATATATATATATATATATATATATATATATATATATATATATATATATATATATATATATATATATATATATATATGTATATGTATGTATATATATATATATATATATATATATATATGTATGTATATATAGTGCTTCCAATACCGGTAGTACCGGAATACCGGTATTACCGGACATTTTTAAGTACCGAAATACCGGTATTGGTTTGGCTCAATACCGGTATTAAAAATATATGTAGAGGGCTTATGATATAGCAGGTGCTATCGCCCTCTTTAAGTGAAACACTAAAGTAAATGAAATACTTAAAACTTTCAACAACGCTTCCGGTAGGAAAAAGATAGCTAGATGAGAAAAGACGTGTTTAAATTGTCTAAAACAAGTATTCTACGTACTTTATACTTAATATCTAGTTGCCAGCTCATTTCCCACTAGGTTTGGTAGGAAATGAGCTAGCAACTAGCCAGCAAACAGCTAGTGTTTAAGACGTATAAAATACGTAGAATACTTGTTTTAGACGATTTAAACACGTCTTTTGTCATCTAGCTATCTTTTTCTTACCGGAAGCGTTGTTTGATCGTGACTGGAAGTTTTAAGTATTCCATTTACTTTCGTGTTTTCATTAAATAATGAAGCACCAATTTAAAATATTATCATTACGTCACTCGCTTTAATGTAGAATGCATGTTTGAATTTTGCACTAACGTAAATATGAAAAGTTTCGGTAATGTAGAAAGTGGGGTGTTTAAGTAACTGTGATCAACAGCTGTGCATTAGGCATGGGATTCAACTAGGTATTCAAGATATTTTGTACAAAAAAATCGTCAATTTCTGCAAAAAAAACTTTAAAGTAATATGCAATAACAGAGAAAGTGACGAGGAAATACTGATGACACAAACATAACCAATAATGATGAAGACTTTTCAGGCGGGTTTCAAGTTGTAATGAGTGAAGAGAACGACTCTATTGAACTGACTGATGATTTGCAGCCGTTAATCAAAAAGGTGCGCACCGTTGTGAAGTTTTTATTTTGCCGTTCTCCGACAAAAAATGATCAAAATTCAAAAACGCACGTTAAAAAAATTTGATAAAGATATTCCACTAATACTTGGATCCAAAACTAGCTGGGTTAGCTTGCACACAGTACTCGAACGTTTTGTATAATTAAAAAAATGCATTCACGAGTCACTTTTTGCCCTTGAATCCAAAGTTGAGGTAACTAATAATGAGTCCGATGCAATATTAGCTGTTAACTTATGTCTTGCGCCAGTAAAACTGGCTGTGGAAACATTGTGCCAAAATCATACAACTCTGTTGTGTGCCGATACAACATTTTCATGATATATCTATCATGAAAATGTTGTATCGGCATAACCTTTGAGAAATCGATTTAGCTGTAAAGTTATGTTGGTGCAACAATTCAATGTGCAACATACTTTTTTTCCAGCATACAACATTTTTTGCACAAGGGACATCAACATTACAAGAATTTGGATCTAGCTCTATCTTTTGACCACCATAGCAAATTAGCCATTGCAAATACCATTACTCGACTGAAAGATCGGCTCAATCAGAAAGGGTATAGTCCTCTCCCTTTCACCAGCGTTTTTTCCGATAGTGATTCTGTGGACAACGCTGTAAACTTGTCATTGAAAAAAAAGCTTGACTTTGCAATTTTGAAAAATAAGAAATGTAACAACAGGGGAAAATTGAATGTTTCGAATAATTCATCAAAAATTATATGTATTGAAATAGGAATTTTTGAAGAAGGAGGAAATCGTTGTATATATTTGTAAAATTCCTACCATTACTTGAAAACTGTGAAGCCAACAAAATTAGATGATCTTTTGAAGATGATGTTCTGAACGCCCTGTTTTTTACGGGCTCATTTTACTAAGCAGAAAAAAGCGAAAAATGAAAAAGCCAGTAGTTTTGATATAAAATAAATAAGCTGATTGAATCAATAAAACTTTTACTATTAACTTGAGATTTTATTTAGATTATGATAAATTTAAAAATAAAGTTTAATACCGGTATTATACTCCTTTAGGAATGAAAACTGAGTGATTTGGATATCTAACAATGGATTAACCTGTTTCTTTGGGATAAAAGAAAGAGTGTAATTGGATTCAAAAGATAAATTAAAGGATAAGGTAGAACTTTTTGTTTTTTACAAAAAGTTCTACCTTATCCTTAGGAGTGTAATAAAATCAGACCCATGTACAAGAGATGGAATGTTAGACTTGCATTTATTAATAACATTGTTAAAGATTTTCAAAAAGAATCCCAGTCAACCTTAAAACAGTTGTATGAAATGATAGAGTGAATATAGAAATGATGAGAAGATAGGTGGATGTAGAAGAAGTAAGAAATAAACATTTTAGTGAGATCATACCATAAAAAAATATAAGAACTATGCAACAAGATTTAACTGATGAAAAGTTACTTTGAAGATTTTAAAATTTGT